TCCTCTTTGTCAAAGTCTTAAATTTATGATCAGAATGGATTTGGAATAATGTTGGAAAGGCAAACAGTACCAATGACCACAGGTTAAAAAGTGTTCCCTGTGGTTTCTATGCAGGGTGTCAGAGTGACTACAGCCTGGCCTTTGGTGTCACACACACCTGGGCTTAAGACTTGCATGAGACATTTAAACTCCCTGCTTCCTCACTGGTAAAAAAAATAAAATAAAATAAAGAATTCAATATATTTTCAATATCTAGCTTAGAAAATGCATCCTGAGGCTAAACTGATGGGCTACACACAGAGGTATACGGTACTTACACAGGATAGGAAATATACTTGTCCTACAAGAAGCAGTTGTGGTTTGCAGTAAGATGCAAAAGTGAGCAAGTCAAGGAATACTCAAGGAAATAAGCAATTTACTATTCTTTCAGTGATTCCACAAAGCAATTTCCCGAATGCAACTTCAAAGGAAAGGCCAGGAAATCTAATTTTGGTCACATTAGCTGGATATGTGTGGGTATGTGTTATTTTGTGAGGTACTTATTCATATTTCAAATTAGGAGAGTTTGCTTATTCCTGCTTTGGTTTAATTATTGGCTCTCCTGCCATCTCCTGCCCTTTCCCAACTACTAAAACTCTCCCACTGTTTCCTCTGGAATTCAGGATTAGTCACTGGCAAAATTTCCTGTAACCTTCATCTTATCTCTGAACACTCCCTTCACATTTGATGTACAAACCCCGGCTTGTCTCCTATGAACACACCTATTGTACACTGGGCCTCGAAATGGAATAGGTGGCCTATATGCACCTCACTGTTCCTTCCAAGACCACTCTCCCTCCCTGGCTCCTTTATTGCCTCCAGTGTCATGGCTCATGTCATTAGACTATACCTCCTTACTGTACTTATCCTTACTCTCCTTCATATTTGACGATTTTAGCTCCTAAATATTAATATCACATCTTGTCCATGCTACCTCTATCATGACTGTGTTTCAATATCCATGCAGATGGTTCTCTAATATCTTATGCCAGTGGCCACCACCAGCCTTTACCACAGCTTTATGCAAATAAGAAAAGGCAATCTTTCCTCCAGGTAGACCCAGCCCCAACACACAGCACTAGGCTAGCCAAATGGAGGGGTACCAAGTTTCAGCCACTGGCGGGCCACTCAGCCAGACAATTCTGAAGAGTGCACACATGGCCTAATCACTCATGATATCCTTAAACCTAGCTCCCTTCTATCCTCTCATCTTAGGAAATGCATTCCATAATAGTACCCTAAATTCAATTCCATGTATTCCACTCTCACATTGTCTATGCTTCCAATTCATTTTCTTTAGGACACCAAATCAAACAATCCTTCCACACCAATGAGACTTCCTTCTTTACACCACCCCTTACACAATTGTATTTTCACTTGCTTCTACATCCAACTTAAATTCTGTGGATGTGCACCTTAATTACTCCATTTCATACACCCCCAACTCCTTTGTCCCCTCTCTTGCTTTATCATTCACATTTGGCAAAACCCCAAGTCCAGTCAAATCTAACTATACATCTACTCTGCACTTGTACAGTGGTCCTGAACATGACCGGAGCAAAATATACAGCCATGTGGCTGGTCTCACATTACATTAAGGATCAGTAACCCTGAGAGTGTCCTTAATGCTATCAGATTCTCTTAGACAAATACTTTGTATCTTCTTAAATCTGCAAAACTACCTCCCCTATCCTCACCCTCAGTGAAATAGGAAACTACTGAGAAAAATAAAGCAATAAGAAGCTAACTTCTATGAGCCCCTTCCACATGGACTCACCTACCCCCACTTTTACTGAAATATTACTACTTTGACTTTTCCTACTGCCTCCTTTAGAGTACCTGTCTACACTCCTTGCTAATGCCAATCCCTTCATATGTTGAATAGGTTCCATATCCCCTCATCTAATCAAGCACAAGACAACAGTGTACCCCTCTCACATTAACAATTTGTTCTTAACAGGAATTTTCCCATTAGTAAACAATTATTATATTTTCTACTTAAAAAAAAAACTTTATCTTGATTCTTTCCCTTCTAGATATTTTTCCATTTCATTCCTGCCCTTTACCTCAAAATTCCTTAAAAGAATTGTCTACACTTGTCCCCAATTTCTCTCCTCCCATTCTCTTGAACCTATTTTATTTAGGCTGTGATCTTACCAATTCACAAAAGTTGTCACTGTCAAGTTGATCAATACCCTCACAAAGGTAAATCCAGTGGTAATTTCTTTCTTTCTTTCTTTTTGTTTCTTTCTTTTCTTTCTTTCTCTTCTCTCCTCTCTCCTCCCTTCCTCTTGGTTTTTAACGAGTCTTGCTCTGTCACTCTGGCTAGAGTGCAGTGGCATCATCGTAGCTCACTGAAACCTCAAACTCCTGGACTCAAGTGATCCTTCTGTCTCAGCCTCCCAAGTACCTGGGACTACAGAGAGTGGTAATTTCTCAATCTTCATCATAACTTCACATATCAAAAGCATTGGCACATTTGAGTCACTTCATCCCCAGAAACACTTTCTTTACCTGGTTTCCATGACAGAAAACATGCTATCATGTCCATTTACCCTCAGTCTCATTTGCTGTTTTCTACAATCTCTCCAACCTGTTAAAATTCAAGTGTCCCTAAGTTCAGTCTTTGGTCCTCTTCTCTTTTCTATTTACCTTCAATTCCTTGGTGATCTTGTCCAGTTTCTTGTCTTTAAATATCATCTATGAACTTATCACTTCCAAATGTACATCTCCAGCAAGATTTTTTCCATGAATTTCAGACAAATAAGTTCATTTACTTAACATTTCTACCTAGATGTTGAAAAGGAATCTCATACTCAATATGTCCAAAACTGAATTCCTGATCAACAACCCCCCAACCCCAAGCTGTTGCTCTTACATATTCTTCTTTCCCAGCTAAGGACAATGCTATTCTGCTTGCTCACACTCAAACTTTAGAGTCATCTCCAACTCCATTCTTTACCTCACATCCACATTTATCTGACAGTGGCTCCTGTTGCATCGACCTTCAAATAGATCCAGAATCCAGTCACTTTTCATCTCATCCACTGCTACTCCATGTATTCAAATCACCATCACCTCTCCTATAGATTAAGATAATAGCTTTCTAACTGGTGTCCCTGTTTTTGTCCTTGTTCTCATATTTTTCTTGTACTTAGTGATCCTATGAAAATTTAAGTGAGATCATTGGTCTCCCTAGCTCAAAACTCTGCAATGCTTTAACATCTCTTTCAAATAAAAACCCAGTGTCAAGGCACTATATAATCTGGCCTTCATAACTTCTCTGGCTTTGTATCTTAGTACTCTCCCTTGTTCACTCTGGCCTCACAGCTACGCCAGCCTCTTGCTGTTTCGGGAACATTCCAGGAACTTCTCTTGCTTCAAGGCCTTTGCAATTGCTGTTCCCTCTACCTAGAATTTTCTCACCTTGAATGCCTGTCCTCTCACTCCCCTCGGGTCTTTTTTCAAACATACCCCTGTCTCCTACTCTTATTCTCTCATTTATTTTGCCCCATACCACTTGTCACCACTGAATAAGCTGTACATTTTACATATTTACTTTGCTTATTACCTGTCTCTCAAATGACATAAGCTTCATGAGAGATCTGTTTTTGTTTTTTATTGCTGTAACTGCAATGTCAAGAATGGTACTTGGCACATAGTAGAAGCTCAATACATTTGTTGAGAGAGCGAGCACATGAGGCTCCAGCAAGCAGGCAGTACGACAACAGGAATGATGGCAATGAGATTCTCCTTCATGCTACTGAAAGGGAAGAGTATGCCCTGTTCACCAGCCCTTCTAGAAAGCCAGAAATTGCTGTGCGTCTCTGCCTTGTCCTCTTTCTAACCACAAGGACCTGCCAAGATTCATATCATTACCATAACAATGGGGGCTGAGTTTTCAAAAGGCATAGGAATAGGTACATTGAGTCAAATGAAAGTTGGTAAAAATAGTCTATAAAGCAGTCTGCAGTCATTTTACTAAGACAAGAATCTGTGTTTCCAATAGTAAATTCACAACTTCTGCTGCATATCAGAGAGCAACTGAAGCAGCATCAGTCTTACAGGGCCTGCAGAAAGCACGCAAGTGCAAAGGGCAGGAGTGTTCAGGCAGCATGCATAGAGCACACAGAGGGACTCCCAGGGCCATTAATAAAATGAATGACTTTGGCTTATTACTGAAATACAATATTTCTGCAAGTATCCTTTAAGGTTTGTTTGTTTAAAGATAATTTACTGATTCCTGTGAGTCCACTGACAGAGACTTTAATTACGTAGTCTTCCTCCCAAATCATGATCTGGGTCCATTTGTGGGACCAGAGGGTAGAGAAGAAGGCACAGCAGCTACTGTGGGACACAGATTTGCCAAAATTGCAGTACAGAATTACATACTTCAACAGAATCATAATAGAATTATCTTGAGAAAGATAAAAATGAATTCACATGGATAGAATTCAGAGGTGAAAAATGTCCCCCTTAGAATTCCGGAAGGGTCACTCACTTTTCAAAAGTCTTTAACAAGAAAATCTCTTATTTGGTCCTCACTTTGCTGTGAGGAATGATAATACTAACCTTAATTTACAAAGGAAAAACCAAGGAACAAAGCTATTATAAAAGCACTTGTGATCACAGGAAAAATCAGCACAATCAGAAATAAAACACTGACAGAAGAATAAATCCAGTAGATACCACCAGAGTAACCCTCTCACCCTTGCAGGAGAAATATACTGATACTGGTAATGTTCAAGAAAATTATTCAGAGAAATACATACTGTTAAAAAACAAAAAGGCAAAAACTGTATACTTTTCTTAGATGCTAATTTATTTGAGTCAAAACTGTTTGATGATAAATCTTAGTAAGTGGTTAGAAGAAAATTGTATCTATAATGGTGGGGAATTTAATTAGTAAATTATTGGCATTCTGTATAACTTTTAAGAGAACAAGAGTTTACCATGCTTACCTCCATTTTCCTCTCCATTGGTATTTGCCTCGGCCATTTCTGTACCATCCAATTCAGACTCACAGACTAAATCCAACGTGCCATCCACTGGGCATGACGACTCCTCTTTCTATATTATTTTCAAAAAGATAGTTTATGGAGCTGTACTAGCAACTAAAAACATTCAAAATACTTTTAGTATACTAAAGTATTATCACAGTTATTCGTAATTTGGAATTTCAATACTTATTTTTCATGTAAAATCACTGCTTAAAAAAAGGAAACTTGGGCCGGGCGCGGTGGCTCATGCCTATAATCCTAGCTCTCTGGGAGGTCGAGGCGGGCGGATCATTTGAGCTCAGGAGTTCGAAACCAGCCTGAGCAAGAGCGAGACCCCGTCTCTACTAAAATTAGAAAGAAATTATCTGGACAACTAAAAATATATATATAGGAAAAATTAGCCGGGCATGGTGGCGCATGCCTGTAGTCCCAGCTACCCAGGAGGCTGAGGCAGGAGGATCGCTTGAGCCCAGGAGTTTGAGGTTGCTGTGAGCTAGGCTGATGCCACGGCACTCTAGCCCGGGCAACACAGTGAGACTCTGTCTCAAAAAAAAAAAAAAAAAAAAAAAGGAAACTTGGAAAAGGCCATTGCCACTGTTGTTTATTTGAATAACCTTTTAAAATTGATAGCAAAACGAAAAAATTTCCTTTTGACATATGTTGTTTCCATTTTTTTTTTCAATTCTGCATCCTTCCTTATGTAAAGAAATGGCTTAACAACTCAGAATTTTAATCAGTAACTTAATTAGCTACCCCACATAGCTACAAAAAGCAACCGAAAAAATACAAGTTTTTTTTTTTTTTTTATTAACCTCTGTTATTTTCTGAAATAGACGCTGGGACAAGAGCCTGATGTTTAACAGCTGAGGAAGAATCCCTGCTTTCTTTGCCAGGTATAACTTTTAGCATTTACAAGAATCTCAGAGGTAATTAATGAACTCTAAATATAATCCATTATTTAGTAAAGCAGTGACTTTTTAATTTATAAGAAATAATACACTGAATTTACTTATTCCACGTTACACAGCCATTTGTAGATCAAATCTTTTTGTCCTTTGGAATTCTGCACTTCAGATGGCATTTTCCATTCTAGATGGAAATAGGAATGCCACTAAAATAATTCACAGTTGTACCCCCTAAAATTACTGAAATTAAAAAGTAAAATAATTAAAACAGTTATCTAAAGCTTTTGATTTTATTTCTCTATTCTCATATAACAAGTGTGCATATTAGTAAAACTTTCTTGAGCTCACCATTTGTTTCAAAATTAAATACTTGACTTAAATCAGTAAGTCTTCAAGAAGAATGAATAAATTTCTTATTTCTATAAAAGACAGGAAGGTATACAGGTGTGAATCCTGTATATCAACTGATGGTCATTAAGCCGAAGAGTTTATGGCAATTGTGATTATCTTAAACTCCTGACTGATGATCCGTGACACCCCTCCCATAAATTTTAAAGAATCAAGAATTATAAGGAAGCCACAACTATTTTCCATTACCATATGTATGGAGTAAAACCACAGATATTCTTTCCTTAAAGAAAAATGTCATTGTTTATTCTTAATACAAAATCATTTTTAAGACATCTGAAAATATTTAGAAGGCATAGGGGTCAGCCTTCTACCCTTCACCCGAATCCCATTTTGTTTACCTTCACATGTTTGAAAAAATGCGTGATACAGTAACAACTTAACAGGCATAATATGCAGAACAATCCAACTTACTTTGAGCGCATAGAGGCCTGACTTTCCAGGGATTTTGAAGAATGTTCCATCCCCTATTCGAGTGTTAGTGTGAAGCATTGCATTCAGACAGGCTAATGGAGAGGTTCCACTAGAAAATAAAAAGTGTGCAAAAATGAAGCAGTCTGAGGTGCAGCTTCTATGACAAAACTGTTCTCTGAGTCTCTCAAAAAAGAAAAAAAAAACCTTTTTTTTTTTTTTTTGCATGCCTTTTAAAAATATCCTCCTAACCTCAGAAACATCTACATTACAATAAAGGGCCAGTCCAGTTTCACCAAAGTTAATCAGATGCATCTGTTTCATAGGCTTGAGGCAAAAAGTCTCCTAACTTGAAATTATGCTTTTATTCATAAAGCAACGAATACTATATTTTAAAGAAACCAAAACCCAAACATTTATGTGGTGTTATTTTACAAATAACACCATGAAGTCTCAGTTTTTAAATGTTACTGACAATTTGATGGTTGCACTTGAATGATCAAAAAAAAAAAAAAATCAAGTTCAAGGGCAGCTCCATCCCATAGGCTGAAAAGCAACAAAAGAATAATAAACCAGGGAAGAACTGATTTGAAATTATAAGTATTTAAGTTCCTCACAGGACTGCATTTCTTACATGGCCAAATAAGAATGTATATCTGTATTTATATCTCAGATACAGCCTCTACAAGGATATCCTTTTCTCAATTACATATGTCAAATAAAGATATATGTGTTTGGGAATTCTGCCCAGCTAATAATTATGTTCTGTGGCAAAGATGCTAGTGGCTGAATTATGAAATCATTTTTTAAAGAAATCAAACAGCATTAAACTAATGATTAAAAATACTAAAGCACATATGTATAAACATTATTGGAATGTATTCATATATTTGGAAAGATGCTTATGAAATACATAATACATATGCATTTCCTGGGGTATATGTTAAAACATTTATGTGTTTTGCTTGCAAACTAATGTTTAGCAAGTTGGATTTAGAGCTATAATGATTGCTTTCATTTAACCATATTTCCATATATATTTTACTTCCTAATATGCCAAAAGATCAATATTTTGTCAAACCAATTTTTATTAGAAGCTCTACCTCATCCCACATGCCTCTTAGGAATTATGGGTATTTAGTCTAAAATATTCTGGAACAATAGGGTCTGTAAGATATCAAGGTTTCAAACTTTGAATGTGGGGGATAAAATCATAATTTGTGCTACTAAATTAAAAGTTTTCTAAAAACCAAGATTACCAAATCTCATACTTACTATGAAAATTCACCAGTAAGTAAGACAAAAAAGTCAAATTTGCTGAATTGCCAGAACACATTTAATAGCAAGTCAGCATATATATGTATCACGGTTATAAAGCTTTATAAGTATTATAATATGAATACCCGTTATTATTTTAGGAAGCAGCTTCTCTTTGCCAACACATAAATATGATTCCATTGGGTTTGACAGGAAACAAGAGTCCTTAATACAAATTTGGTCATAGAACAACGCCGTTGTAACACTGAAGTACGCATGGTAGTAATGCTGTGTGTGTTATGTAATATCTTTTCTCATGAAGTTCCTACAAGCTTACAGACCTCATTTCATTATTTTTCTTCACAAAAGATTGTTGCTTGTATTTAAAGTGGGCCCAGGCATACCTATAAAGTAAAATATATTCATCTCCCCAGAAATGTCTTGCTATGAATAAATTCCAGATAAATAATGCAATACATGTTTTACTGAACACTGCAAGTATATATTTTTACATTATACTCTTCAGACAAAAGCACAGAAAATTTGAAGCTGGGAATGATTATGCCAGATCTTTGGAGTTTTAATTTAGTGAAACTGTCAGAAATACAGACTTCTCATAGAGACTTGGCAAGAAGATGTTAACACCACAAGTAAAATAGAATCCAATACATAAAAATGATACAATGTAGATTTTTAAAAATATAACTTAATAAAATTGTCCACCTAACATGAAACCTCACAATATTCTTTCTACTCTCAATTCCTAAGGTCCTAAAATGTACACAATTGTAAGAACTCAGATTTAGAATACTAAAGAAAAACACACATTTAAAGGCAACTAAGAAATACAGAACAAATATGACATCACCATAATTTACATTTTCTAAGGTATAGTAAACCTAAGATAATTGTGAAAGATAAATTGGCTATTAAATAGCAATTTAATACTATACTTGCTGCAAACATATGTGATAAGCACACAGTTTCATACAAATAAAGAGCTCTAGTAAGCATGAATATATCATTAAATTATACTTTTTTAACTCAATAAACTCAAGATTATGAAAAATTTTAAAACATGTAATTCACAATCACATCTCTAAAAATCTCAACAATTATTGTAATTTCTAATTTTTTTCAAAACAAAATTTATACTATTTCAAATTTATACAACAGTTGCATTTTAGAAGAATTAGAAAATATCATGCAAAATGCAAATTTTACAACTTAAGTCAACCATTGATTAGTCACTTAATTTTAAGCATATCACTTACATTTCTTCATGGAAAAAAAACACTATCCTGGTCCATTTTATTTAAAAACAATAAAAAATTAGCATCAAAAGAGACAAAATGCTTAGTAAAAGGTAACGATTCATGCAATGCAAAATACAGATAGGAAAATGTATTTTTAAAATCTTTCATGCCATTTACTTATTGCTATTATTCTCATCAATTCCATAAAATCTCAGACCACTTTTCCTGATGAAATATGTCTTAACTGCTATTGATCAGGAATAAATAAAAGTCTGATTTATCTATTTTTATATTAAGAAAAAATAGATTTAGTAAATACACAATACATTTATACACACACATATCTATTAAACATGATGATTAACTGAGTATGAAAAATAAGGCAGACATGCTTTAAAAGTGTGTATTCTTAGATAGCATGAACACCTATGTAACATTTCTTATTTTTAGTTTATTCCAAAAAAACTTTTATTTCACAGTTAATACAAAGGTTAGTCACCTGTCAGAATTAAAAAGCTAAAAATCCTGTAAACAGAATATGTACATATGTATATGACGTAATCAAGCATCAATGTTTTAATAAAACAATCTCTGAAATTTCAAAAGTTACTTACTTTCTAACAAGATGAATTGGAAAAACCATGATATCCCGATTTATAAAAGGAAAACAAAAAGAAAGGAAGAAAAGAAAGTTAGTTTTCCAACTTAAAACACAATTCTTTATCTTACTATTTCAATAAATAGGACAATATACAGGAAACCCACCAAAGTCAGAGATTTGGCTGCCTATGGGGAGGTGGAGAGGAAAGAACTAGGGTGCTGGGGGAAGAGATGACTTCAACTTCCTTCCCTAAACTTCCATAAAGTTTCATTTTGTTCATAATGCACATGCATTTCCATATAATAAATATAATCATAAATAAATAGGCAGACAATATTTGCCCCCATTTTTTCCATTTCTTATAGTTGGTCCCTTTCCTATACACCTGCCGGGGTGGATATACAGCTTATTCTACTTGTTTGTTTTTTTCCCTAGACTGTAGGGCTGTGGAACCCTTCTGGTTTGTTTTCATTTCCCACAACCCCTGAAGCAGAACAGGGGTGGAATTTGGAGGCAGGGGAGCAGGCATAATTTAAACTGTCTAGACATCAAAGAACCCCCAGAGATGCTTCGCAGAGCCCAGTGTTGTGTGAAATATAGAAAACCCATTGCTTTATATTATCATACTGCTGATGAAACACATCACACTTTACTAATAGCGAATACTTAGTGAAGGGAATGGATAGCCTATCTATTTAAATAATTTTAAAAACCAGGGAGAATACCTGGGGGATGTGATTGGAAGAATATTTATAGACATGACAAAGAAAATATCATAATTATAGGTATCTGTTCCTTTATATGTAAAATGATAATGCTTTATAAGATAATATTTAAGTAATCCAAGGTTAAACTATTTTAGCATATTAAAATAGTAATAATACCTATTCTTAGTAACAATTTTAGATGGAAGTGATTTCCTGTAAACAGTTTTAAATCTCATTTTAAAACCATGGGAATATCAAAAAATTAGTCCTGCACAACATAAGTCTACAAACTCTACAAATTCATTAAGAAATTATTTAGCACCATTACTAGACAGTGTGCTAAGTGCTATTAATATAAACAATTGTATGTTCACTCTCCTTTCAAAAAAGAATAATAGCTACTTTCAAGGATTTCAAGTGTAAGTTTTCAGAAAATATCTTAATTACAAAGAATATATTTTCAAGAGTAAATTATGCGGGCCTATGGGTACAAGTAATGTTTTAGTCCTTGATATAGGATCTTTGTGTTCACTTTGTGAAAATTAAATTGTTTCAATTTAGGATTTGTGTACTAAACTGTGTTACATTTCACAAAAAAATGTTATAAAATGTTACAATATGAATAATGTACCCTTGGATTTGCCTATTTATTTATATATTTAATGAGCATGTCCCTACTATTAGAGAAGAATAAACTATTTTTATCAATGAATAAGGATGACTCGTAAACACACATAGTAACACAATGCACATCAGTGGATAATTCAGTAACTTCAATGACTAAAAGCTACCCTAGAAAAATCAAGGTCAAACTAACTTCTTACTCTTGAAAAATATTACTGCTAGTAAGAAACTAAAATGACTAAAAATAAAACCTTAAAAACTAGAGTCCTTTATATATGTTATCTGAAAAATGTGTGTTTGTGATACATGTATGTAATTATATATGTTGCCTGAATAATCCCAGCACAAAAAATAACTTATAGTAACCCTGAAATTTGATTTTGATGAACCATGCCCCAAATTTCATGGTCCCTTTAAGAAGATCACTAATGAAAGATTTTAATGAGTTCTGAGGACATATAAGGAATACGGGTTTTTAATGAACACCGACATATGAAGTATAACAAAGATCAAAGTTTAGAAAAATATAAAAATGTAAATAGGAATAACCCATCAACTCAAATTAGAGATGGGTCATATTTAAAAGGAAGATATTTTATAAATTTCTATGTGAAGATATATATGTGGTTTTCAATATTCAACATGCCTCTAAGGTAAAGTAAAAATG